TCATTTTATTCGTTTTCTCTCCGGTCTTTCAAGATTTTTGTCTTGATCTCGGTTTTTTATGATAGTGTATTTTTCATTCATAGGGTTTTGGTATTTTAAATTTGATTCCTGTTTAGAATCTGTTTTAATTTTTATTTTAGGTTCGTTTTGTCTTGTAGGGTTTGTCGGTGTTTTGTCTTTAGGAGGTGTGTTTGTCTCGTGTCCTACTTTGTGAAGGGTAACAGTTTTAAAATTTGGATGAAACTGTCGGGATTTGAGATCTATTACGCATTCATAATGATCTAGAAAGTCTAGGACTATTATACCATCGAAATCAATGTCTAAATTGAAAATAAAGACTTTGTGGGGATTATTGTCAGTAAAGGGAATCAGGACAGATTCTGTTATTAACAATAGTTGATCGGTTATATCTTGAATAGTAACGTTTTCAGGAAATCTATTATGATAATTGCGTGCTGTGTTTTCTTTAAAAACAGAGATTCCAGCACCTGTGTCAATTAAAAGTTTAAAAGTGTTGGTAGCATCGTTAAAGTAATATAAATTTTTGGAACTCATTGTATGAAATGGGGTTACATGAATGTCTGTTCGGGAAAATTGAGATCCGGATGAAAGTTGTCCAAGTTGAGTGCTTGAATTTGCTCTTGGATATTCGTAATATCCGTTGAGTGGTTCGTATGATTGGGAGGATGATTGTGATTCTGAAGGAAAGAAAATCCTGATAATTTTGTGTGTTATTGGTTTCGTAAAAGTTATCAGTTTGAGGATTATTTTCTGTATAATAATCTGTGTCATAGTTTTCATAGTTATCGGTATTATAATAATTATCTGTGTAGTAATCATCTGTATAATAGTTAGTCGTTATTTCATTAGGGTATTCATTTAAAACATGTGCCCGTTGGAAGTTTGGGTTTCTTGGAATAACAGATGGACGATTTTGATTTTAATTTTGAGATGAAAAGAAAGGTCTCTGTTAGTTGAAATTTGGATTGTTGGAAGAATATTGATTCCTATTAGGGTTCTGATTGTTTTGATAGTTGTTAGGTCCATTATTATATTGGTTTCGGTAACCGTGTGGCCTAGAAAAAGTTTGGTTTGGCTGTACGAAACGTGAAGAGCGGCATTCAGTATTTAGATAACCAATGCGGCCACAATTTGTACATTTTGTAAACTGGGATGAGGGTCTTCTCATTGGTTGAGAGGGTTTAGGAATAGTTGATCTAGAATTAGATTTTTGTTCTTTAAAATATGACAATTGAAGTTCGCGTCTAATACGATTGCTTACTTCAATGAGATCTTTTGGATTACTAGCCCTAATAATTTGTCCTAAACGGGGTTCTAGACCGGTTAAAAGTGTGTTTAGGGCCATGGTATCGATTAAGTCACATTGGGCGGTTTTTGGATCTGGTGATAAATTTGCTGTTTAGATAGAGGCGTGCATTTTTGCATTAAGAACTTGTAAGCGGTTAATGAAAGAGGAGAGATAGTTGTCTTAGTCTTTGTAAGTCTTGTATTAAGGAGGTCAGGTCTCTACTGTCTCCGAAATGTAGATTTAATAATTGATTTATTTCTGTATAAGAAAGTGGTTTTCTAGAATTAATAAGCTATGCAGCTTTACCTTTGAGTTTATTTTTTACGCGAATCGTTAATAGAACGCGCTGATCGCCTGTGGCCATTTTAAAGGCACAGTCGCATGCATCTAAAAATGTAGAAAGAGAAATCGGATCGCCTTCAAATTCTGGGATAATGGAAAAGTTTTCCGAAAGCTTGTAGGGTTCGATTTCTTGTTGAGTTTGGGAACGTGTCTCGGGCATTCTTCGAGATATTTTGAAACGAAAATGAAAAATATAAGTATGAAGAAGTATAAAATATATCAGTATATAAGGGAGAAAAAAAAGTGTGGTGGTATAGAAAGGACAAAAATGTATCAATTTAAAATATCAAATAATATATCAATAAAAATGTATCAAATATATCAAATAAAAATGTATCAAATATATCAAATAAAAATATATCAAGAGAAAATATACCAAAAATATAGCAAGTAAAAGAAAATTTCAATAAAATATCAGTATAAAATAGTATGAAAGAAATATGTCAATATCAATAATTTCAAATATTAGATAATCAACTTGTATTTTTTTATGTATCTTGATTAAGCGACTTGCAGTATAGTCAATTTCGTAAATTATTATAACAAAATTATTAACGAGATGATTCAAAATCCACTTACATAAAGAAGAACATCAGGACGCCTTGTTCTCTTTGCTCAGCTACCAGGGGCTTCACTACGTGTTCCTTCCGTAGACTACAGGAGTGAGGTTGTTCGGTGATGCTTTCTTCTTTAAGGGTTGGCTTGTTCTCTCTGTTCGGCTACCAGGGGCTCCACTAGGCGTTTCTTCCGTAGATCACAGGAGTGAGGACTTCCGTAGATTCTTTGTTCCGTTAAGGGATGAGAATCCGCCGCTGCCAGTGAGTATACACGTGTTCTAGCAACGTTAACCGGATCCTACTGACTTTGCGCCAATTGTTAGATCACTAATCACGTATTTAATTTTTTAAAAAAGAACTTTATTTGTTACAAATTAAATATTAAATAATAGTACAAAACTAAATTAATTTAAAAATGACTACAATAACTGGACTGGTCGAAGTTGCAGCTAAAAGTAGTTCCGGCATCTGAAAATGGTAATTTATAGGTTTGGTATGAAGTGCTGAATCGTTGTTCCCATGAGTATTGGCCAACGGTTCATACAAAGTTCTACTGCGTGCTCAGCAATTTCTATGGGAATGGGATGATGAAATCTGAAGTCGGCGAACTTAAGCTAGTTCAAGGTTAATATTTTCTCATATAACATATGAAGGATATTTAAAAGTCATGGACCAGACAGAATCCTCTTCCTGTTAGATCAAGCAGAATTAAGTAGGGTACCAAAAGATACACACAAAAATTCCTAAAGAAATTATAGCGGCGAAAGAGATCTGAATTACTACATTTTGCACCAAAGCTGCAAACCCACTCGAAAACAGCTTCAATCTCCACAAAGAAATTTCAGATAAATTGCTAGGATCTTTAACAAAAAACAAGCCCCTGGTGTACATAATGACCAAGATAAAAACTATAAACTGGTAAATATACACAATTAATTTGTTCAACGATCACCGAACACAAAAGCCACCAAAATTGGAAGACCATTTGAATGGCACAAGTATTTCTAAATCTAGAGTTGTACTAGCTATCAAACTTTTGAAAAGTAACAAGGCTCCAGAAGAAGATGATATGTAACTATCTAGACAAAAGCAAGCTCTTATACCACATATACGATACAGGCCAGATTTCAACGAATTGGCTTCAATCTACATTTATCTACCTACCTTAAATAGCACGTGCGAAATTCTGCAAAGACCACCGGCGAAGAAGCCTATTGAGCCTTTGTTTAAAATTTTTCTTAAAAACATTACACACAGGATCATTAAAGAAATGGGAATAGGTCAGTAGCTGTAGTATGAATTGTTTAGATTAAAAAAGGTGTTTTTTCTCTGTTTTATGGATTATCAGAAAGCATTCGATATCGTAAAACACGAACTAATAATTCAAGGTCTACAAGAGTTGGTATCTTATACAAAGGATATCGCAAAGATTATCGCCAATCTGCGTTGGAACTAAACAGCAAAAGTATATCTTAAAAATTTCAACAAAACGGGAATTTTCTTAATAAACAAAGGGAGTAAGGCAAGGTTGTATAATTTTTTCAACTTTGATTAACTTAAAAGTAGAATAAGCATTCGCAGAAGCAGTGACAGACTCATAACAATATTAGATATATCGATAACACAGCGATACTATCAGATATAATCGAAGATATTCCATATCTTTTAACGATCTAACTCTTGCAAGTAAAGCTTTGGGTTTGAAAATAAATATCAAGAAGAATGATTACCCAATTGCAAAGATATATGTAGCTGGAGAATAAATTGAGCAATTCAGGCAGTTTAAATACTTGGGTTACCTGTCAAACGATAATCGGGATCCATAGACTGCAATAAAGATCAAAGCAGAACAAGCCAGTGCTTTTTTGAAACTTCGTAAAATTATGGCAGATGGCAAGTTGTATTTTAACATAAAATACAAGATGCTAAAGTGTTACATTTTATCTGATCTCTTGTACGGTATAAAAGCATGGACGTTAAAGATCAGATCCATTGATCATTGACAAACTAGAAGTTTTTGAAATGTGGTGCCTGCGTTAGAAATAAGAAAGTATTAAGAAGAGCGAATAAGGAACTGCATATTTAGGACACGTATTACAAGGAAAACAATACACTTTTTTGCACTTAGTACTAGAAGTAAAGATAAAGGATAAGAGTGGTCTAGGGCGTAAAAAGATGTCAGGGCGTAATATGCGTAATATTCGCACTTACGAAATGCTGCTGAAAATATAATAATTTAATCCTGACTATCTAACCAGGCAAGACAAGGTACGGTAGACGCCTGTGCAGAAATGCACGGCACTTTATGAAGAAAATAGTTGTATTTTTCGAAGAGACCAAAGATTAATAAAGTTGTAAGATAAAGTTGTCAATTTTAATTTAAAAACAAAAATATTATTTATTTGTTTTTAATTTTATGTTAGTTAAGATATCTTATAATATAAAGACCACTCGACATGTACTTAATATTTTTATACTTCTTGTTTCAGTGAACCGAATAGTTTTGTTTTGTGGATTAAGGGTTATCTTTGACTTGATATTATTTTCTAGTTAATTTCGGTGTATTTCTAAAGGTTTCGTAAAATAGATAAGTTAACCAAAAGTCACAGTATTGATTTGAGTTCGACGTTTTTGTTCAGGACTGTAGTCGATACATAGCATAGTAATTGATTTATTATCACTAATACAGGTAAGGTAAAAACAGATTTTTAAATAAATTGGTCTAGGTTTTTCTATATCGCAAAGTTAACTTCTTTTACTTGGACACAATTTTGATCTGTTTTCGGTGAACCTTTGAGGTGAAGTGTCTATTGCCAGGTAAAGATTTTAATTTAAAATTATAATTTTATTAGTTGTTATATATTTTTTTAATATGTTTGAAATTATCGTTTGGGACCAAACTGTTTATTTTAATTTCAAACTTTCCAATAATTTAAGACAATTTTAACTCATAAACTATAGGTTTTATTTTTATTATATTTTTTATTATATATGCAGTTAGTATTTCCTTCTTTTCTTAAGGTATTTCTACCTTGTACGTCTATTTGATAGTTTTTGTTTTAATTTTACACGATTTTTTGAATTTGGTAACAACTTTTTGTCTTTTATGTAGACGGTGGAATACATGGTTCATCATCAGTTGGAGCTACAGCCCTCGTGAACCCTGGCCTGCCTCAAAATATTATTGCATCCTTTCCTGTCGGGTATCTGTCTTTTCCATTACCTCACTCTAATCTCCCTTAACTCGTCTTGCACATCTTCCAGGTACCTGAGTTTAGGTCGCCCTCTTCTTCTTCTCCAGTCCGGCCTATTTAACATGGTGAGGGCCTAGGACCCCAAGTAGCAGAACTCTTTTACAGTTTTTATTGTTTTTCTAAGTTATTTTGTTGCATTCCTAATATAGCCGCATGTATATAATTCTGGGAGTTAGTCAGTTCGATTTGTCTGTGGCATTTTAATACGTATGAAAGTATTAATTGCTTCACTTCAGGCTCTAGCAATGATCACAATATCATCAGCATATGCTGATGCATATGCTGTTATTTGTATACTACGGGTATATATCGTGCTTTTTCAAGTATATTCCCGAATGTCTCATAACTTTTTTTAACGCTAGATTGAACAGCTTGCGTGATAGCATATCTCCCTACCGCAGTTCTCTGTTAGTTGTAAATGGTTCTGAAAGATCCCTTTGTACTCGAACTTTTCTCATTTTCAGTTTGTTAATTATATGAATCCTAGTATTCCAATTCGAGCATAGCCGGATATAATTAGTCTATTAAAAGTATCGTACGCTGCCTTAAAATCTACGAAGATATAATGGCAGTCTATGTCATACTCCGTCGTTTTTTCTAATATTTGTCTGATGGATATGTGATCAAAGGTACATCTGTTTTTTAAAAAGCCTCTTTGGTATGATCCTATTATATTGTCAATTTATTGTGCCAATTGTTCGTTAAATATCAGGGACAGAATTTTGTATGCGGTATTCAGAGAAATCTCTAATGCTGGAACAGACAAGCACGTTTTTCTTGGTGTATAGGGCATATAATTCTAGTATTTTAATTTTCTGATTTAGCGCGTTCTTGCCATACCTGTAATAATTGTTTGTAAAAGAATGTTACAAACGGTTAACTGCCGCATTTAAATATTTCTGCTGGTAAGATATATGCTCCAGGTGACCAGTTTCTGTTTAGAGACTGAATTGCTTTATTCATTTCTTACAAACTTGGTAAAGTTGGTAGCTCAGTTTTCTCCTGTTTTAGCTCTGTATCAACTCTTACCTTCAGCTTTACTTTCTCCATTAAGTAGCATACTACAGTATTCCTGCCACATTTCAGTACTTCCACTTTGTTGTTCAAAAGTTTCGTAATGGGTCTTGACTTGGTTCGCTTTTGGATTGTAAACGTTTCTTTTTATACATTAATTTTTTGTTTAGATATTTGACCTGAATTTCATGTGCAGCTTTGTCGACCGTTTCCAATTACGGTGCAGCCTCCCTTATTTCAATGTTATTCTATGTTCTTATTAGTATTCGACGATGTCTTAGTTATTCGTTGTTCTTGTAATTTGCGCTCATTTGAGTCCATATTTTTCTATCTTGTCCTATTCAAGACCACGTTGTTCCTGTTAATTTTCTTATATCATAATCCCATCTGAGATTCGGGCGCCTCTTTGGTCTCTTAGCGTTCCTGGGATACCACATAGTTGTTCTAGTGGTCCATCTGTGGTCTGTTTGTCTTGCTATATGTCCTGCCCATTGCCATTTCAGGGATTTTATTCCCTGGGTTTGCCTCCGTATCCATTCAATTCTTTTACGATCCCTTTTTGTTATCCTAGCATACATCTTTCCATTGCTCTTTGAGTTACTTGGAGTTTCGACGTTATTTCTCTCTTTAATATCCAAGTTTCACATCCATACGTCAATACGGGTAATATGCATTGATCAAATACTCTCTTCTTGAGGTATAGTGGCATTTTGGACTTGAAGACTATGGACTCCATAGTATGGAGTTTCGTCCGAATGCTGATCACGCTTGTTTTATTCGTCTGTTGATTTCCGGAAGTAGTGATCCCGATTTATGTATGAGCTGTCCCAGGTATATGTATTCGTTTACTACTTCTAGCGAGGTTTCATTAATTTTTATTTCCACGTTGGCGATCAGATCATTGCACATTATTTTAGTCTTTGCTAGGTTCATTTTTAGGCCTACCTTATTGCTGGCTGTATTAAGGTCATTAATTTGTAGTTGTAATTCTTCAGGACTTCTAGCAATTAGAATGATGTCATCAGCGAATCTAAGATGGTTTAGGTATTCTCCATCTATACATAGACCTTGGTTGTTCCAGTCTAATTTTCGGAAGATATTTTCTAAGGTTGCAGTAAAGAGCTTAGGGGATATGGTGTCTCCTTGTCGGACTCCCTTCTGAGTGGGAAATTCTGGGGTATTTTTATATATGCTTACTCTAGCTGTGGCCTCTTTGTATATATTTGCTAGCGTTTCGACATATGGTTTATCTACTCCTTGGTCGACAAGAGCTTCTATGACTGCTCTTGGGTATACGGAGTCAAATGCCTTCTCGAAGTCTATGAATGCTAGCGCCAGTAGTAGATCATATTCTTTTGTTCTGCTCATTACTTCTCTTAATGTTTTAATATGATCCATTGTGCTGAAGCCACTTCTAAAGCCTGCTTGCTCTCGGGGTTGTGCAGCGTCAAGTGTGTTCTGTATTCTTTTGTTAATGATTTTGGTGAATACCTTGTATATCACAGGCAGCAAGCTGATCGGTCTATAATTTCTGATATTTTCCTTGCTACCTTTCTTGTGGATGAGGATTATGTTGGCTGAATTCCACTTTTTTGGAATATGTCTCGATTTTAGGCAGTCTGTGTTTATTTTTGCTAGGATTTTCCAAGTTGTTGTACCAGCAATCTTTAGAAGTTCGGCTGTAACGCCGTCATTACCGGCTGCCTTGCCGTTCTTCATGCTCTTAAGAGCTGCCTCTACCTCATCCACGAGAACATCTGGTACATCTTCTTGAACCGCAGTTTCTTCTTCGCCTATTTCTTGTACTTCCGGAGCTTTATATAGACCCTCGTAGAATTCGATTACATGTTCTATTATTTCATCCCTATTTGTGATCCTTTCGTTGTTGTTTCTCAATGCTATTATTTGCTTTCTACCGATTGCCAACTTGCTCTTGGTTTTCCTATAGCTTTTACGGTTCTCGATTTTATTTTGTACAAGTCGTTCATTGTACTTTTTTATATCTTCTGCGATCTTTTTCCGTATTGCTTTGCACAGTTCGGTATATTCAATTCTATTAATATTGGAATTGATTTTCATTTCTCTTCGTTGTTTCAGGAGATCTGTTGTTTCATCTGAAAGTTTTCTATTGCTGTTGTGTGCTTGTGATCCTCCAACTTCTTTAGCGCAATTTAAGATTGTTTCCAATATATGTATATATATATATATATATATATATATATATATATATATATATATATATATATATATATTAAAAGCAACATTAAAACAAAATTTAAGTCCAGTCAGATTGAAGAGTCAATAAAAGCTTAGATAAACAGTTATGTGACAAGTCGCTATAAATATTATCTAAAACTATTGTTACTCTGAAATACACCTAAATTGAATTATTAAGGTCAAGGCAATCACTTAAAATGCACTTTAATACAACACCGTACACCGAATAGATTTAGATAGAGGCTTCGAGAGAGGAGGGTCATAAATAAATCTTCTTTGGAAGAATTCCAAGAAACCAAATTTTAAATTAGTCCAGCAATTTCATTTAAATACAATTTATCGCATTTATTCAATTATTTTTATGTTGGTAATAAAGTATGTATACTAGATATAATCATTATTATATTGAAATAGTATATTTTTTAATATCTTCCTATTTTAGCTGTAAACTCTTATACGAAGCAAATCGATAGCCACTATGGAACCTGGACTCAGCCTTATCTATAGACACAGCGATACACCTTTAAGTAATTCAACTCTTATTAAGCTAATAGAAGATGGTGTTAACAGGTTTAAATATAACACGTATATTATTTCCAAAGAACAAAAGCTTAATATGACTTATCAAAAAACCCTGACTGACGCCGACAATCTTGCAGCAGGGTTAATAGAACTCGGTTTGGAACCCAAGGACAGAATCGGATTAATAATTCACAATTCTATTGAAGGTATTATTGCCAATTTTGCTTGTATTAGAGGCGGATTCGTAGCGGTAAGTCATCATTTATTACTTTCAATGAGAACAAAATTATTGTAACTTTACTGTTTTCATTGCGTCATTATTTATTAAATTTACTGATTTCACACTAAATAGACCAGTTCAGATTGCTTTTTTCTCTTGGTATTCTATAAGTGTTGGAGTTGTCAACAATCTGCAGGACGTTGTTGTATAAGTGAATAGTGAATAGTGAATTTCTTTTCAATATTTAGGTGTATATCACAATGGCGCATCAACTTTTGATCGATTGATAATTAATAATTAAGCTTTACATTGTACCTTTTGAAAAATATTACACTCTAGCAAAAATCAATAATCTACTTCATTATATCGTAAAAGACTTCCCAACTACGTACGCACGATATCAGGGTTTACAGATATGTATAGAATTTAGAACGAAGTATGAATCTTGTAAAGGTACGCACATTTTTTTTATTATCAACACATTCTGAGATACAGATTCTAATGGAACCACATTATCGAGAAATTTGTGAGAAAAGTACAATACAAATAGTCTAAAAGATTAGTCGACAGCATTCCTCTTCTTCTTCTTCTTCTTCTTATAGTGCCGTGCACCTATAGTGCGTTGGCGAATTATCTTAAGGCTAGACGTATGTCTTTTGCGGCATGTAAAAGATCGCCAGTGTTATTTATGCCTATCCAGTTTTTTATATTCCGTAGCAACGACATTTGTTTGCGACCTACTCCTCTCTTGCCTTTAATCTTTCCCTGGATGATTAGTTGAGGGATTGCGTATTTTTTTCCTCTCAGGCCGAGGTATCGAATTTTTCGTACTTTGATCAAATTGAGTAGTTCTCTCTCAGTATTTGCCTTTCTTCGAAGAAAATGGAGATGGCTGGGCCACACACTCCGTAGACCGCCAAATGACATTGCCAGGACAGCACTGGATTGGAATCCCCAAGGCCGACGGAAAGTAGGCAGACCTAAGGGAACTTGGAGAAGGACAGTACTGGACGAAGGAGAACAATGGGAAAATCCTGGCTTGAAATCAAAGCACTAGCCAGAAATAGAGTTCGCTGGAGACACTTTGTGGAAGCCCTATGTTCCTCTTAGGAATCTTGGGACTATATATAATAATTTGCCTTTCTTAAGACTTCCTCGTTTCTCACCTTATCTGTCCATCGTATGCGGAACATTCTTCGCAACGTATAACAATATGGACCATACATAGCATTTAACCATCTTAAAGTTTAAGATGATTTATTACGGCATTTTATTTCTTGTTGAGATCCCATTGGTCATTCATCATCATTCCCAAGTATTTAAATGTTTCCATTTGATCGATTGGAGCACCATCTACTTGCAGTTGTATTCTTAAAAGTGCATTTTTTCTTATTGCCATGCATTTAGTATTTCCAGCATTTATCTTTAGGTCATAAATTTTTCCTACGGTGTTTATTTTATTTAACATTAACTGCATATCATGTTCGTTGTCTGTTATTATCTCGGTGTCGTCGGCGTAACGAAGGCACACTCAAAGCCTTCCAGTGTCTCTGCAAAAATGTTCTCTACATAGAGATTGACGAGCATAAGAGACAAAACACACAGGGGTGTATTTTGTCTCTTATGTCTTGTCACACCCCTGTTAAAATTTCAAATTCTTTTGTGTTGGTTGATTTAATCAGTCTCACTCGTGCTTTTTGATTCCAATAGAGATTCTGGATAACTCTTATATTTCGTCAATCTTAGCGTTGTGTAGCATTTTTATCATTGCGTCATGTTTTACGATGTCAAACGCTTTTTCATAATCGAGGAATGTTATGACTACATCCTTTTGTTGATACATGCAGTTTTGTACAAGCGTATTCAAGCAGAAAGCTGCTTCACGTATACCTAGTCCGCTCTTGAAACCAAATTGTGTCTCACCGCTTAGATCTTCCAGTTTTTTGAACATTCTTGTGAGAAGGATGCGAAAAAACATCTTAAGCAGATGGCTCGTTAAACTTATCATTCTGTGGTCTTTGCATTTTGTCGCTCTTTGTGATTTTGGGATCATTATAAAGGTTTAATAAAGCCAATCCGTTAGAATGTGGCCGGTGTTATATATGGCATTGAAAATTGTTACCAGCATGTCGATGTTATCATCTTCCAACAGTTTTATGGATTCCATAGTAATTCCATCCGATCCAGGGGCTTTGCCTAGTTTTGCTACCTTTATAGCGTACTCCACCTCGGCGCGAATAATGGGAGGACCGGATAAATTTTCCGTGGGTAAGTTAGTAGCTGATTCGGTCTATTATCCGCAAAGAGGGACGAAGCATAGTTTGCCCAGATTTTAGCTAGTTCTTTCTGTGTATGAACGTAGATTCCTTGATCATTCTTTAGACGATTCTCATGGTGTTTCTTGTATATACTTGAAATTACTTTGACCTTTTTATGTAGTCCAAAGCTGTCTCCCTTCTCTTGTAGTGATTCCAATTCTTCACATCGTTCTTTCATCCAGCTTTTCTTTAAGTTTTTAATTCTTGCTCATACGTACGTTGGATTTCTCTACAGAATGAGAATAAACTTAAAACTAAATAAATAATGTGGCGTATTCACCTTCTCTAAATATACTCGTAATGAATGTATAAATAAGGCAGCGCCTTGGGAGAAGAAGACGATATCGAAGAAATACAAAAGAATGGTAAAGTGAAGATATTAGGATCAAAAGTTTCAGAGAAAAAACGAATGCATAAAATAGGTTTAATGACAAAAGGCATAATAACCAGTCTTTCCAGTCAGATATATCTTTTGTAGAAGAAAACTCTTCTTCTTCTTAAGGTGCCGTGCATTTCTGCGTAGGCGTCCACCGTACATCGTTTTGTCAGGTGAGATGTTAAATATTCTGGATTAAATAATTCTGTTTTTAGCAGCATTGCGAAGCATTCCATAGCTGTGGATTCCTGTCCATTGACGAATATTGCGCAGCCATGACATTTTTTTACGTCCGAGACCTCTCCTACCCTCTATCTTCCCTTCGAGTATCAGTTGCTGAAAAGTGTATCGTTCTCCTCGTATAATGTGCTCCAAGTATGCAGTCTTCTTACTTTTTACATAATTAAAAAGTTCCCTATCCTGTAAGCCCGCTCTTCTGAGTACTTCCTCATTTCTGACCCTGTCCGTCCATGATATTCTAAACATTCGACGCAGGCACCACATTTCAAACACTTTAAGTTTGTTAATGGAACTGGCCTTTAACGTCCATGCTTCCATTCCGTACAGGAGAACAGGCCACACGTAACACTTAAGCATCTTGTATCGGAGGTTGAAGTCCAATTTGCGATCAGTCAGAAACTTACGAAGCCTCAAAAAAGCATTTCTGGCTTGTTCAACTCTGCTCTTTATTTCATTCTCGGGGTCCCAACCCTCATTCAGCAAACATCCCAAGTATTTGAATTGCCTGACTTGTTCGATTTCTTCTCCAGAGACATATATCTTTGCGTTGGGGTAATCATTTCTACTTATAATCATTGATTTTATCTTCTTGATATTTATTTTCAAACCCCGAGCTTCACTTGCAAGAGTTAGATCATTTAAAAGGCATTGAAGATCTTCGATGTTATCTGCCACTATGGCTGTATCATCGGCATACCTGATGTTATTAATAAATATGCCGTTAACTTTAATACCCTTATTAGTCTTCCACTGCTTCTGCGAAGGCTTTTTCTACGTATAAATTGAACAGCATTGGGGACAGTATGCAACCTTGCCTTACTCCTTTTTTAATGGAGAAATCTTCTGTTTCGTTGGAATTTTGAAGACGTACTGTTGCTGTCTGATTCCAATAAAGATTGGCGATGATTCTTATATCCTTTGCATCCAATCCCAACTCTTGTAGGTATTTTATCATCAATTCGTGTTTTACATTATCGAATGCTTTCTCGTAATCGATGAAACAGATAAAAACATCCTTTCTTTGATCTAAACAATTCTGTATCAATGTTTGCATACTAAAGATCGCTTCTCTCGTGCCAAGTCCATTTTTGAAACCACACTGACTCCATCCACTGACCTCTTCACATTTCTTAAACAATCTAGTATGAAGTATTTTCAGGAAAAGTTTTAAAAAGTGACTCATTAGGCTTATTAGTCGGTGGTCCTTGCAGAAGTTCACACGTGGTGTTTTTGGTAGGGCGATAAATGTAGATCGAAGCCAATCTTTTGGAATCTGGCCCGTATCGTAGATGTCGTTAAAGAGCTTGACAATAATGTCTAGGTTTTCTTCATTAAGTAACTTGATTGTTTCTGCGTACATATCATCTGGTCCTGGGGTTTTGTTACTTTTTAATAGTTTGATAGCGTGTACAATTTCAGCTTTCAAAATACTTGGGCCATACAAATGGTCTCCCAGTTGTGGTGGTTTTTGTGTTCTGTCATCATTGAACAAATTGGCTGTGTACATTTTCCAAGTATTAAGTATATCGCTAGGGTCCGTTATTAATTCATTTTGGTCATTATGTATAAAGATTTTGGTCATTATGTATGAAGAAAACTCAATAACTGTCATTTAAAATGGAAAACAGCCTGCGCATTATACATCTATAAGAAAAGAAGACAGAAGAAAGTGCAGAAAGTAAAAGAGCCTTTAGAAAAAATAATAGCTTAGAAACTTAGAAACGCATACGGTTTGATTAGAAAGATCTTTTGTGCGTGTGTGGAAACTTAGAAACACACATAGTTTGATTAGAAAGATCTTTCTAATCAAACTATAGTTTTTGCTTGGTATCTCGTTGGTAATACAAAATAAATTCTCATTTACTACATTGTATTAAGGTTGTAAGTGAGGCTACCAAAAGTCAAATATAATACCTAACATTGTTAGTTATTGCGTAGTATCGATGCTTTTTTGGAATTTGTTTGTCCTCCATGTTGAAAAGTTTTCTGTTTTGCACACTTCATTTTTTATAACTCTTTCTTGTGGTTGCCTTGAATCCTTTTCTGTTGATGTTAACTTTTCTATAGAATGCTGTGAATTCTTTCTTTCTGTTGAG